AGTAATAGAATTATCCGTCGGCTCATCGATCATGTCGACCACTGTCAGTCGAGTGTGTGATGTGATTGACGACATGGCTTTTGATAATGACGGCTAATACTTGCAGTACATCATGGTAGTGTTGGTCGCATAATGTTTGACTTGACAGTGAATAAAAATTTCGCTGTTTTCAGATTTTGAGTGTATGAGAGTATACAAATTTCAAGGGTAAATTTACACCACAATAGAATTTTGGGAAAGAGGAAGTAACTACTACTAGTACCACGTAAATGATAGTACTGCGGTGACGTTGCTTGCAACTTCTGGTGTAGGAGGCTGGAGTGGTTGTACTGGCTGTGGGTAGCGCTGGTGGTTGTGATGATACTGCCTCGGGGGGACGGGGGTGGACGGTGCCTTGGACCAGCTCTTGAGACTAGTGCGTACATGTAGGTTAGTCGAGTTTCCACGGAGATCGAATACACTATACTAGAAACTCCACTCGAACAGAAGATATCGTGCAACGCTTGCACCAAGGGAACGTTGTTATGGCAAGGCGACTTTTTCGTTTGAGTCGTTCTCTCATGAAAACGCTTACGCCTCATAAGTAGTAGGATGTGGCGACGTCTGCAGCGATTGTTGACCCTTCACCTAACTTGATGTTGTTACCCTTTGAAACAACAAAAACTACTCGGTTAGCGGAATTCCTCGAAACGCCAGTCTGAGCCAAGATCAGTTTATGGTTTGCCGGTGATGCTGGCGAGCTTGCTGCGGCTCCAGTCCCGTCCGGTGGAGGTGTCGACAACAGCCGCGATCGCAACAGCCAGTGGCGTCGTTCTTGGAACGCTTGTCCTGCGATATCTGTGGCGAGTGCATCACTTGAACAAGCTGCCGAGCCCGCAACAGTCGAGCTTCATCTTTGGTCACTTGTACGTTACTCGCGTCGGTGGCCGATGCCTTGACGACGTGCTTCCCACCTACTATCCATCACATGTAGATTCGACACGCTTGGCAGTGTGGGCCAGTGGAAGACGACGGGCAACTACCCTGAGCCGTTCCTGTCGTGGGTGAAAGCATACGGAGGCGCGATTCATTTGCGCGAACTCCTGACGCATGTAGTCCTGTTGACCGACCCCAAAGCTGTCCAGCACGTTCTTGTGACCAACGGGGCCAACTACCCTCGCAATCCAACGCTGCAGGCCTTCTTTTCTGTTCGTATCAAACCACCTTGTTACCACTTCATACCATTTATGTGTAGGACATCACGTACGGCCCAGGTTTGATGAGCACAAACGGTGCCCTCCACGACAAATATCGCAAGCTCCTGAATCCTCTCTTCAGCACGAGCCAAGTCAAGAAGTTCGTGTCAATCTTTGAAGCGCATGCCCGTCGGTACTGCGACACCGTGTTAGCCCAAGCTGCCGATTCCAACACGCCGCTGGACATGACGACCGGCAAGTCGCACTACCCCTCTTAAACGATGTTCTAAGCCGTAAACCGACGCACGATTGTAGTATTCCACGAATTGACGCTGGAGATCATCGGGTTGTCCGCGTTCGGGTTTAGCTTCGACTCGCGCCCCGAAGTTCACAACGCTTACCATCAATTCACGCTCAAACTGAGTCCGGCCCTTCTCATCGGAGTGCTCACAATTCCTGGGTTTTTGCGCCTGCCACTTGCGCAATTTCGACGGCGCCGAGCGGCCCAGCGCGTCCTCAAGAAAATCATGATTGACGTGATTGATCGCAAGCTCCAGTCTCCCGCAAAAGCACCCGACGCCCGTTCAGACCTCCTTGACCTGTTCCTACCCCAAGCGACAACGCAAGAAGCGCTTGTCCATACGATGACGTTCATGTCGGCCGGCCACCGCACGTCTGCGTCATCGCTGGGGTGGATTATCGCATGCCTCGCGACTCGTCCACATGCTGTCGCTGCCATTCGATCTGAGTACCACCATGCCGTTGCAAAACATGGATCTCTTGGAAGTTGGGAGGTTGTCAACACCCTCAAGTACACGGCCGCGTTCGTGATGGAGACGCTTCGAGTCCACACAATTGCGCACATGTTGATTCGGCAAGTTTGCCAGAAGGACGACTCGATTCCACTGGCGGACGGGACATCCGTGTTTGTTCCAGCGGTAGGGCATTTGCGCAATCTCACGTCCTGCGTCCATATCAGCGAACCTAACTGCTCGTTCCAGGGCACCACCATCGAAATTAACTTGGCAGCGATGAACCGAAACCCAAAGTACTGGACCAACCCGGAATCGTTCGTCCCCGAGCGCTTCCTCGAAGACACGCCCGAGTGGAACGCTGATCTGCAGCTGCGTGACGGCAAAAGCCATACGTTCTACTCCCTTACGTTCAGCGCGGGGAGCAAGAACTGCATTGGGATGCGATTTGCCCTTGCGGAAATTCACGTCGTCGTGGCAACGCTTGTCGCCCTTTTGATTTTGTCCTTACCCCCCATGCCGACCTCCGCCCGAGCCACAACGGCGTCACACTGCAGCCAACCAAGTTGGAAATGTCGCTGCGGCGTGTTCAATGCTAGCCAGTTCGCTCCATGCAAGTGCCTCGCACACAAGGCTGGCAGACAGAAATCAGCAGCTTGATAGCGTGGGCTAAGTAGAACGTCTTTTCTTGATCGGGTGTTTATGCTACTGCTGGAATCGAAGCACGTTTTCGACGCAAAGCCCGTTTCAGGCAGCCACCATGGCGTTACCCACGATCTCTTGGCGGTCCTCGTACATGGTGTCGACTGATCTCGTCCAACCACTTCTTGGCCATTCAATTGGTCATCCGATCTCTTTGTAGGCGTTGCATGTGACCAGGAGGCGACGACAAGTCCTTCCTTTTTCGTCTTGGCGTGCATTTGATGCAGCGCATGGGTCTTGAGGCGGGGGTATGTCGGGAACGTGTGTATCTTGTCGTTGTGCGCTTGCGAGGTCGGAGACGTTTCGTACTTGCACACATTCGTCGTTATAAGGTGATCTGGATGGTCCCGAGGATCGTCGTCTTTGCCGTCAATCCCGGAAGGCATCCGAGTTTGGCAACCCAGTATCGTCCAACGAAAAAGTTTGCCATGCATCTCCACGAGAATCTCCGTCCCAAATGTTTTCGTGCATGGAGCTCCCGTCAAAGTTCTGCACTGACCATGCAAACAGTGTGCCAAGCATACCCTTCGCCATGATCGTGTCGTTCCTGTCAAAAGTAAGCCACATCGACAACTTTCTTTGGCGGTGATTGGAGATAGATACAATTCGCACGACCGTCTCAAGGACACATCGTGCTAGGGTGGCGGCAGCACCGCCCACTTATACCCCCGCACGCGTGGATCGATGCAAGTTGACTTTGAGCATGCCTCGCGTCATGAGCCCGCATTGGAGCAGCTATCTCTCCAACGACAGCCGATCGGCCGGCCAGTGTCGCAACGTGTCGGGTAACAATTTCCGCACATCCTTCGTGCTACCTGTGGGGTGCCAAATTGAATTTTCATCGAATTCATGTCCAGGAAACGAAGCTACCGTAGAAGAGACACAGAGAGTCCACGACCAGGGTGGTTTTCGCCAGCCCACTTTGAATACAAGCCGTCCAAGTGAGCATGCATCTGGTCCTCAGCAATTCAACAACAGCATCCCTTGTCCGCGACCAACAACCCTGCAACAATGACTTTCCCAGCACTCGATCTAGCGGAATGGATTTCGTTACGAGCGTGTGCACACTCAGCGCTCCCCACATTATGGTTTACACTGCTTCCGTCCCACTCATATGGCATGCTCTACGCTCGCCAAAGAGGGAAAAGGTGTGCGATTCCAAGGCCAGATGTTGTCATGTGGGAGAGGGTGGACTTGTATGTGCTCTCTCGCGACACTCTTCAGTATTTCAATACATTGGCTCGCTACCGTTCGATAGCGTGAGCCCACATCACGTCTAGCGCCCACAAGCCCATGTACGGGTGACAGAAGATAGAGTGGTGCTTACCGTAATGGACGGCGTAAAGTGATGATAGTTAGCTAGATTTTTCTGTTCATTTAGTGTTTGCTCGTTGGACTGTTTATCTCGAGGTCAAGCATGTCAGTCTGTCCGTTGGGGGGGCGACCGTCGAGCAAATCATCCAGAGCACTCCACGATAGCAACCTCTCGTCGCTGTCGCTCCGACACAAGGGAAGCAGATGCAGCGACTTGGTCGTGTCACGTGCGCTGGAATCATGGCGTGAAGTCCCGCCGTCGTTCCGGCCTAGGGCGCAAATTACACACGCCCTCAGCATTTGCCTTTTGCCGTGCCGAGTGACGCTCCAGTATGGATTACACGACTTGCATACGACTTCTCCACACTTGAAGCAGTTCGTCTTGGTGTTCGTCCATCCAAAATGTGTATCGCACAAGTGGCACTGCACTCTCAGGTTGTGGGGGACGTGGCGCGCGGGGACAGCCGACTCGCGGCTCAGACGATCTTCCCGAAGGAATTGGTCGATGCATTTCAAGTTGCGACATCTCTTCGTCATGTTCAGGTCACTCAACCACGCCCGCCGCTTCAGCATTGCGTCGCTCACATAGTCGAACGATGCGCCTCGAAAATCCACGTGGGCCACATACCGGATTTCGAGGCAGCCAGGCCGACAGTCCGACTCGAGAAAGACGTGGCCGCTGCCAAAGTTGTGCATGCGCACAAGGCCTACAAGGTCTTGGAGATCGGGGCAGCATGGCAGGGCTACCGACTCGGTCGAAACGACCCAGCCTCGACGAGCATTCAGCTGGAACGCATGGTTGACCTGTGCTGAAAAGTCACAGGTTGTACTTGAAGTGAAAAGTTTACCTCAAGCAAGCATGCATCTCGCTTCGCAACGAAAAACGACATGGGGCTCTTGTACGCGCGCCAGGTAATGTCAGCCATTTCCATCGGGTTGTCTGCGCTGGCGGGCACAAGCGAGTACAACTTGATCGCGTCGACGAGTTGCTTGCCGAACCGCGTCGTAAACTGTTTGGCTTGGGCGGTCGTGCGAGTCTGGAAGAGCTCGACTACTTCTTCAATTGTGCCTGTGACTTCGGTGATGCTCATGTACACGAATGCATTCGCTTCATTCGAGTTCTCGTGGATGCCTTTGAAGATTTGGAGGTCACCTTCGTTGGAACGAAGGCTCCACGCAATGGGCCCGCCTTGAAGTTGGGTTTTGTTGACCTGTTCGCACACACACACACCACGTCAATTTGATCTGGTCAGCCATCAACTTATGTTCCTACGACGGCCATCGCACTCGCTGTCGCCTGGTTCGTGAGGCATTTGGTGTCGTGCGGAGATAGAGCGGGGCATTGAAAAAAGTCAGCCGGCAAGGGAAGCTTCATCGACCGTCCGTGTCCTGTTTGATTCGTGGAAAGTAGAAGTGGTCTCGTCGAGTTGGCTGGGTTCAACTCTCCCACACTCAACGTACGCGCCCGTACAGTACCAGTTGGGCGATGTAGTGTGTCTTTGGAGACAACTCACAACGAACACCAACCAAGGGACGCACAAGCTCCCAAACTCAGAGCAACCTTTGGTAGCAAGCACTCCCTTGTCAGGCGCGCCCTCTACAGCTAGAGTGAGGTCGAGCGAACGCGATGTCCATCCACCAACTGCGGGGCCTCATCTACCAATCACCGAGATATAACCAATCCGTGAACAGCCCGGATATTATCCGGATGTTGCCGTTGGGCCGTCAAAAAACGTGTATATAGATTAAATACAGAAATTGTGGAAAATTGAGATCGGCACGCTCGTCGATAAATATGCATCAAGTCACTTCATGAAGACCTTGAGAGCAATAGCTCCAAAGATAAGTGTACACCACCAACTCCACGTGAGCAAAGGATGAAGCACTTCACAAACGATAGTTATCGCTATGACTTGTCAACAAGGTTAAACTGCGAATCGCGTTGTTCTATCGACCTTGGTGGTCCACCGAGATAAGGGGTCGAATTTTTCCATGTGAAATTTCGTGAATGCAAAGTGCGACCCCGCACAAATCATCCAAAAAGCAAACTTAAAGATGCAGTTACCGAAAAATATTTCCATCCAAAAGGAGGGAATGCAAACATGCCAGACAACGCAACGCTCCAACCGCCAAGACTGTCATGTTGACGAGCGCTGCAATGGAACGGCTTTAGAACTCAAACGCGAACTATCACTCCACTGCGTTCATATACATCGTCCGCCGCACTCGCGGTGGAAGCACAGTAAACGCATTTGGGTCCTTGCACGTCGTCATGATAACGTCCAACAAACCAGTTCAACGTGAGGCAAGTCAATAGTTTTGCTCTGTGTTGGTCCAGCCATAGCGCCGAACACTAAATTGTTTAACACCTGTTGCGTCGAGCAATAAATGGCGGCAATGCTGACGAACGGGGGGATCACTCAATGCATCAGCCGCTCATCCATATATGGTGGAGGAGCTTCTACATTGAGACATTCACGTTCACTCGTCTTCTCCTTGGCAGTTGGTGTACTCCTGTGGTTATTTCATCGCTTAGGTGGCACTTGGGCGAGATGCTTGGGCCACGCAATATGCTAACATCTCAAACCAACGACGGGCAATACCAAGTGAGCGGCCTATCCCGCCGAATCGAAAACTTCAGAATAGTGTCGTGCAAAGGCGCTGGCACACCATGTGCGGCTACCACGTGCCACTGCCGTCATGCGCAAGGCGAGCACGTCGACAAGCTCATGGTCAATTCAATCTCCACCGTAGATTCGCCAACAGTCTACCTTGTGTTGACGAACATCCATGGTGAATCGTCGCTCGTGTGGTGGTGGAGGGGTTGATTGACTATCGCAGCTAGATATGAGGAAGGCAAGCTTAAACATCTTTTTTTTTTGAAGGGGGGGGGGTGATATCACCACAATGCAAGCACGGCAAAGCGTTGAGTGTATGGCGCCTGAATCCATTTCGTCTCACCCGTATGGAATGACCTTACACTGGGAAGTAAAATTGAAATGACAGGTGGTGATAAAGCAGTCGTGAGAAAAGGCGTGACAAGCCACTTTGAATGTAGAAGCACTTGCATCGACTGAGCAGATGGTCGCTGTGCTTCTTTCGCGACAAGGTTGCTACATAGTCTAACGAGCTAGGCCATGGACGTGTCACTTCGGTATTGGATTCGTCGGGAACTAGCTAGTTTCCACTGCTGCCATGCCCATCAAATTGCCTATGCCGACAGACTTTTTCCAGTGCCCAGTGCTCACCTCCGACGAACTCAAGACCCTTCAAGACCACGCCATTAAGAGCGCGATGGCTGTGGTACGTGCAACTTCGTCGATCGTATTCCTTTGTAATGTAACATTGACGTCTTTCTAGGTGAAAAAAACATTCATGGCCAACGCGAGCGGTGTGGAATGGACTGTTCGGTCCGCCGAACCCGACATTACCATCTACAAAGGCGCGGAAGTGTCGGCAAATCATGGGACGTACTTGTACATGAGCGTGATGGAGGTGGCGGCGACGTTGGACGAAGTCATCGAGTTGTTCCAGACGCAGACGATGGAGCAAGACAAAGCCTTTTCCGCTCGGTTTGGCAAGCAAGTCTTGGACACGGTCAAGTTGTACTCCATCCTGGAGCCGACGCCCGACACGCCTTCCGAAATGACAGGAATATTTTGGCGGCTGTACAAGAGCGTGCTGCCAGCGGTTGTGGCCAAGCGAGATGCGTGCCTCCTCCAGGTAAGATTCGCGAAGTGTGTCGTTTGAAATCTTATGCTCATTTTTCACCTTAGTCTCATCATGCGTTCAACTTGAACGGTCGTCGAGGCTGGGTCGCGTCGTCCAAGTCGGTCAACCTTAGCTGCTGTCCGGAGCTGGAGCACCTCGGAGGATTTGTCCGCATGATCAACTACGGCAGCGGTCATGTGTTTTTGGAGTCCGAGACACGCCCGGGATATCTGGAAATACGATACGTTGCTCACACAAACTTTCGGGGGGCGTCGTACGACTACATGTCGGATGCTGTCCTGAAGCGCCGCGCCTTAATCAGTGACAGGAACATGACGAAACGGTGCCGAAACATCCAAGACATTGACATGTTCTTACGAGAAAATCGACTCAACCGCGGGCACATCCTCGAACCCAACCAACTTGTCCCCAAGTCATCGCGTCGCCACTGCTACTTGTGCACCGTCCGTTTCGGACTGACGAATCCGAAGTCGAACTGCGTCAAGTGTGGCCAAGTCGTGTGCAGCAAGTGCAATCGCAACTGGAACATCACATGCGCCGACGGGAAACTTCGATCCATGAAAGCGTGTGTCAGGTGCTCCCTTGGGCAAATGGACGTACAAAGAAAGTCGTTTTACACTTCGAGGCCGTGGAGCCCGACACATTTGTCGGAAGATGCGACCTCCATGTGCTCCGACGAAGCGAGGGAATTGGAAATGAATCGTCGGTCAAAGTAAGACCATGTCCCGTAATAATGCATTATTGGTCTCATCGCAACGCCCACATCCCATCTTTCAAAACAGACACGAAATCACCCATTGCTTCAAGGTGAAGCACGTCAATTGTGCTGAAACTCCAGAGCGCAGCGGCACCCATGAAGCATCCTCATGCAGCATAGTTCAGGCGGCCACACAAACGACAATATAAACAGGAAGTACGTTTGTTAGATACGGCGACTCTTGGCGAATTTTCAATAACTAGGCGATGGCTAAAATGTGTAAAACTAGTCAACGTGTCGCCTCGGTCAACAAACACTAGAATTTGTCGCTACGAGCTTCTTGTGCACAGCACAGAATTGGAGGAAACAGCGTTTTATTGCCGCCCGCCAGCGTGTGGCGTGGCAAGTTACATGACAGCAGGAAAGTGTAAACTGAGGCTTGCTGTCGGGACCGTTGATACGGCGACCCTTAATTGTTCGATATCCATCGCCAATCTTGCTCGAAACCTCGTTTTGAGTGTCACAGAATCCGCTTCCTTGGTGTCTCGCGGGCAAAAACCCCTCAAGCAGAGGGTACCATGTATATGACAGCTTTCCTGACGATAGGAAAAGATGAATCATGTTCTCACGTCGTTCGATGACGCGAGAGGTTTGAATCCACAACCAGCAGGACGGACGCGCTTGCGTAGATGTCGTCACGACTTCAAGGAGTACTTCTTTAGGTAAATCTATGATTGTGCCAGATTATCGGGTATTCTTCTGGATAAAACAGGTACATTTTGAGACTCTACAGTCCGTAAACTTGAACCGTGCATGTGGCTTGTTAACTCCAGTCACGTAGGAAGTCTTCATCGAGATATTCCCTAGAATCTTGGAGTGGAGATTCACGCGATGGCTCGAGTCGTGCACGTGGCAAATATACACAATGCATCCATGTTCCAGGCGCCGAGGAGGTACCACAAACCGAGGACACCACATGACGTCGGGGAACAGTCGACTGCGGTGGCCCACATTGCACCCGCTAGAATAATAG